ATATTTAGAGAGCAGGATTCATAATGCTGATATCAAAACAAAGGAATTCCATTATTCTATGCTGTAAAGTTGGGCATTTTAATATGGGGCCTTATGGAGATTGACTCACTTGTGGAGCTAGCCCCAGGTTGCCATTTGAGGACCTGCAGTCTTTGCTACCTCTGTGTTGGCTTTATTTGCCAGGCGTGGAGGTTGCTCCTTCATTAGCGCCTGCATGAAACTCTGGCGGTAGCTAATCGGCTTATCGTGCTCCAATTTATATTTTCCAAACTGGAGGCCTGAGTGTGAAGGCAAGTGAGATGCACTGAGGGCAGAAAAGAGATGGAGTTACACACACTTGTGGATACCTTGAATGCTGTGATTTTCCATAGAGACACACATATTTCAGGTCTCTCTCTAAGTGCATGTTTTCCCTAATGGTGTGCACTACCTACAGGTATACACATTCCAATTAAACTCTCCTTCCTTTTACTCATACAGCGTATGTGTGCTCAACCCTTCCCACATAAGCACAGACATACACCCCCCACCGACCTCCTGGTGTGTGCAGGGTTCACAGTGTGTGTGTCTCTGAGGGGGGACAGAGGGAGGATAGGGGAATCTAAATAAAGATATGTGTGCTTGGCTAGTTTTACACACTGTATTCCCCACAGTCTTATCAGGAAAAATCAGGCTTTATCAGAGGCAGAGTTACCAGCACATCTAGGTCTTTCTTCATCACTTCCAAAAGAACATGTTTTTATCACAATTTCACCTTTTTTATTTGTCAGGGAAAAGATGCAGAGAAATCCTGTCACAACAAGACCAGGGAAGCCTGGTTCAAGCAGGAGTGTGGACACAGCAGGGAACGCTGCTTGTCAGAAAGTGAGACCTTTGATTCAGACCTCTGTCCATAAGCGATACAGATCCCTCGTTTCATGTAGGTTTCAGAAGGTTTTCGCTCCCTTCTTAACGTCAACGAGACAGCAGGATATTGTCAGGTTGCTGAGATGTGTGTGTTGTGCTCTGAAACAGGTGATGTAGCACAAAAAGTGGCTTGGAATTAGGATTCAATGAATGTCTTTTTAAAATCTCATATGGTTAAATTTTTCTACTTGCAAACAAATGCATCAGTATTACCTACACACCTCTGCATGGCATTCCCCTAAAGATGATGAAGCTCTCACTCATATAGTATTGCATTAATCACATAACCCAAACATAACTGAAGTGCAGGGTAATATGCTACAGAGCGCTGCAGGGGTGAGTCCTAAAACCCAGAAACCAGCTAGCATTTTTATTTTAATCACACTATTTGATTACAAGTTGAAGTCATGTGACTGATGTGTAGTCCGTTTATAGCCTAACGTTAGCTCATTACTTCTGGTGATTGCATTTACGCTTCAAAAATCATAAAAGTATTGTTCATTTGTGAATGTCTTGCGGAACAAAACGTCTATAAGGATCGTAAACCTTTGTTCGCCACTTATTTTCTGCAATAATCCAAAATATAATGGAAAAATCCCATTGTTTTTCTGTTGAAGGAACCTTGGTTGGCCTATAAAAATGCACCAGCCCTGCAGCACTCTATAGGTGTTTTGAAGGAAAGCCCTTTTTTATTAGATTAGAGGGAAGTGCTTTGTTTTTCTTCTGGTTTTCTTTCCCCATAACTTCTCTGGTCTGTTTCTGTCTGCTGTGTTTGGCAGACATGTTAGTCATGGTGGGAGGTCTCTATCTGCGCTGGGTTCAGTTCAGGCAGATGCACGGCCTTCGAATCAAAATCCTGTGTGGGTCTGTCTCGAGTGCATATGTCTGAGTGTGCTGTACTGTGTGTGCATATGTGTTTGTCCAGGGATCCATTAGTCGGTTATTAGCACACTGCGGTCCACATCTGGCCCTAAGAACCAGCTACAGCCCCAGATTCTCCAAATGAGATTCCAGACTTGATCCAAATGCTCGAGTCCTGACCCAGGTTGGTTGCTTTAGTTTTTAAGGAGGGTCAGTCAATCCTGCTGAATCGCTTCAGTGCGGCATGCATTTATGGCAACACTACCGTAGCTACTTGAAGACACTGCATGCACACACAAGGATCAAAGGTGAAATATTGGTTGTTGTCAGACGGTGACACAACATACATACATTAGGGGTGGGTAAAAATATCGATACGGCAATATATGGCGATACTTTGCCGCTCAATATAATATCGATTTTTCAACTCCAAAGATCCGATTTTTTTTTTTTAGATGGCACCGAAGAGCGACTCTGCTGTGCGGCGCATGTATTTCTGTATTAGAGAGAGTGGCTGAGGTCTTTCCAAAATGGCCATCAAAATAACAACGCCTCCGCAGTTTAAAGCTGACGTTTGGAAGCACTTTGGCTTCCAAGTTAAAAAAGATAGTAAGAACAACGAGTTGGATAAAGATAATGCCGTTTGTAAGCTTTGTCTCGCTGCCGGGAAATATTGTGGGAACAGCTGTGCCCAGGATGTATGAAGAGGTGAAGAAAGTCGTGAAAACAACTCTTAGCGCTGCACAAAGAGTTGCCTTGACGTGTGACGGATGGACGTCCAGAGCCTGGGGACTGGGAAATGGTTACACATGTTTTGCAGACGACGGCAATGCATGAGAGCCACACCGGCAGTAACATTGCTGATTTGCTGAAAAGGGCAATGGAGGAATGGGGCATACAGGACAAAGACCCAGCCATAGTCACAGACAACGCTTTCATATGACCTCTTCAGTTCAGTGTTCAAACAGTGACACAATAGGAGAAACATTATTTCACTTATTTTTGTGCATTGTCACTCAGGGTACTTTATCCTTTGTTTTCAGCTGCACTGTGAGTCGTACTGCAGGTTACAATGATTTCAGTTTGTTGGTCAGGGAAAAGAGATTAATGGTTACTTTGAGATATTTACAGTAGTTTCAGTGACAAGAAATTTAATGCACTTCATTTTATGGTTTCAACTGCAGTGTGTAACACCGCATTTTATTTTCAATATTTTTTTCAGTGAATGTCATGGAAATTAATAAAATGGAGAGGTTGTTTTGAGTGAAATAGTTTTGACTCAGTTTTTCCTCTGATCAATATCATCTGATGTACATATACAGGTCCTTGTGTTTTCATCTCTATTTATATCGCAATATCGTGATATTGTGATAGATGGTGATACTATTGTATCGTGACCAAAGTATCGTGATACCTATCGTATCGTGAGGTTCTTGCCAATACCCACCCCTAACATACATACATACATACATTACAGATATTATATTAATAGGGAGGTTTTCATTGGTGTATAATTACCTGAATATAAGAATTGTTGTGTTTTTGTTACTTTAGAATGAGTCCACCATGTTGAACCTTTGAATTGGCTGACAGATTCTTACACTAATAAATCATATGTTCACTGCGAATTATTTGTTTTTTTGTTGTTTATTTGTTGAAGTAAAAGTGCGATGATGATTATTTTACAACATCTCAACGTATGCAACAAAGATAAAGTAACTGTCCTCAAACAGGGTTGGTCTTGTCGGTTCGCCATGTTGAACTTTACTCACCAATTCTTTCCTTGGTCTGCACATAAAATATATTTGACACTATTAACACTGACACAGGGGGTTAAACTCAAACAAGGAACAGCTCAACAGTTTGTTTTTCCTCTAAAAGGAACACTTCAGTGATTTATAACTTCTTGTTTTCATTTGAGCTTTTGGCTTAACTTAAATGTGAGGATGGAGGAGGGCGTCAAGAGGGAGCTGATGAGGATGTGGAGGGAGGAATATGAGGCCAGGTATGGGGGGGTCCCTGGAGAGGGCAGGATGAGAACTAGGATTTTGAGAGATCAGAGACGGAGGTGAGTAAGTGAGGAGTGAAGAATCGCGTGGTGGGGAGGGGGATGTACAGGAAACCCCATTGTGTGGTGACTCCAGCCATTTCCTGTTTGTGTGCCAGCTGTACTTCCCTCCTTCCTGTTGTACCCAGGAAGTCAGTGTCACATTCCAGCTCTGATCAGCTCCGTGTGCGTGTGTTAGAGGAACCTCAGGGACCTTGTCTTTGTCAATACCTGCATGTTTGTTGCTTCCCTGGTATATTTTTAGGGGGTTTAAATAACACATTACACTTGTAGAGGTAGAGACAATAAAGCCCATAATGTAGTGGTCATGGTTTATGGAGACAGCTTGAACTTTGAATCTGAAGTTGGGGAGACAGGGGAACACAAAATTAATTATAGTATAATATATAATAAAGAACCAACTGAGACTTGTAGGATATTACTGGAGAAGTATAGTGGAAACTACGAGACTTGTCATAAAACGATCTGTGGTCAGTTTCAACACATCAGACTCCTCCAGTCTGTTACTGTCATCATGTCTCTGAAATATTGTCGACATTTAAAAGTTAGACGTTGCTACTTCCTCCCGCTCTACAAAAACGAAGCAAAAATATTGGGATGCGAGCGCTATCATCATCCACATGTACTATATCAGTGGTTGAGTCACATGATGTCATGAACAGTATTTAGGCTAATAGTCTTCCAGGAAGAACTGTGGTGTCAGATGTACGGACAGTATGCACCAGTCTGCCTCTGTAGTTGTTTTTAAATGGGAGTGACTTAAAGGTCCAGTCTGTAACATTTAGAGGATCTGTTAGCAGAAATGGAATATGATATTCATAGGTATGTTTTCAGTAGTGTGCAGGTTCAAACAAAGTGAATCGGGGAATCAAGTGTTGACTTGCAGGGAATAAAAAGCATTAACGTTAGTTGATTCAGGGAATTAATTGATTTGTGGCACACTTTTATAACTTTGGCTTTGGACGAATATAGTCTAAAGTCATCCAATTTATGACTCAAGTCCTCTGCCTGTAGTTGCATTTTTTTGTCCGACTAACCTAAACCAGGGGTCAGCAACTGGGCTTTTGGTGGCTCTGAGCATACTTGGTCTGCCTTTGCTCTCTCATGTAGAAAATAAATAATAAACATGCAATTTGTCTTTCTCTCCCTCTTCCTTTCTCCTCAGCGGTAGAAGAAGGGGAGTCTTCAGAGTGTGGAGGGACCTGGGATGAATCAACTGTCCAGACAGGTTAGTGTCGCACACACACACACACACACACACACACACACACACACTGATAATGTAATCGAGTTCCAGCAAGCTGTCAAATCCACACAAGGGGCTTAAGTCTATACATCTCTCACACACAAACACACAGACACACACAATTTGTAATATCAATTCCACATGGTTTATAATGGCCTGCTCGGAGGGGATATTAAGGAGAAAAAGGAGGAAAAGATGGAGAGATGAAGTGAATGTAGAAAGAATTAGGATGGAGGGATTTGGTGAAAGTATTAGGAGAGGGAAAACCCATATAAGAGAGAAAGGAGATTTGAAGAGGGAGAAAGAAGGAATGAGAGGGAGATGTGGAAAGACATGGAGCTCTCACTGGTCTCAGGAGTCAGACTGAATGGAAAGAGAGATGACAAAGGGGATATGGAAAGAGAGAGATGGGTGGAGGGGGGACAAGATTTGTGTGCTTTTTCGCTACTCTCTGTGGTCTGGTGATATCCTGGGAGGAAATCAGAGAGATGGTTGGGCTTTTCTTTTCGTTTTGTTCTTTTCTTGGATATTTTTTTTTCTTGCGGTTTCTCCAAACCAACTGCTCCATTTCTCCCTCTCCCTCCCCTCTTCTTTCTTTTCTCTGTCTATCTCTCTCTTGCTTGTTTCCACCGCGAGATGGAAATGTGAAATTATCCTCACTCGCCCTTTTGCCTTGATGGAAAAAGGAATAACTCAGCCGACTGCACTCCGAAGTTAACGTATGAAATGAGAAATAATACAGATTCTGTGTCTAAATAGAAGCATGTCAGAGGATGTGTATGACAGTAGGCTTTAGGTGACCCTCGTGGTATGTACATTAAACCAACCACTGTAGACCATGTCATTATTAAGGCTGTAATTTAACCATATTTGGAATCTGTCAGTGAGACTTTATGAATTAGAGAAAGCACAAAGCGACATAAAGTGGAATTAAGAAGATATAAAGTATGTAGAGTGTCCAGCAAATGTACCCGTCCCTGGTTTGGCTGCAACTCAGTCAATCAACAAATCTACTTATTACTTTCCCGTAGGGATGCACCCGACTTGGATTTGGCCGTTTAATACAAAGATTTGACTATCTGTTCCCAGTTCAGTGCCACACTAAACTCCCATATCAGCAGTTCCTGCGATGGAAACTCAAAGACATCTGATTTCCAAGCAGAGAAAGTGAAAGTGTGCTGGACGGCAGTGGAGGAGGTTGAACCACCGTCTGGTTTAAAAGTGGTTTAGCCAGTGTCAGCTCTGGGGCAGAGAGCATCGGTCACCTGCTGCCCCGCTGTCCGGCGTCACGCTGCCCTCCTTTAACTATCACTCTTCTTCGCTTCCATCACAGTTAGTTGTGTGGTTCAGTCTGCCATGCTGGTGCTCTGTGTACAACGACGCAGCTAAAAAGCCAAAGTGCAGAGATATGACTGATAAAAGGCTCTTCTCGACTGATTCAAATCATAGACACCCTACGTTCATGATTATTCGTTTGGGCCGTAGAACCCACACAAGCTAGCCGAGCTCATGGAGTTCTCTTTAAATGTCTTGTATCCAAAATATTCAGTTTACTATCACAGCGGTTTCCAAACTTTTTCATGTCAAGGCTCCCAATTTTAGAGCATTTTGTCTCAAGGAAAGGTAATTATTTTTTAAATTCCATCAAACTGGGATCGCTATAAATTACAATCAATAAAATGACCAACCCTTCTTCCGTCATTCCAACTTCCAAAAAAAGTTTCAATATTTTATTTCTCCTTTTGCTGGAGAAAACCATCGTAAAACTCTAAAATAATCCCAAACTGTTCACATTTGGGAAGCTGGAGCCAGTTGTCAGTCATTAAAATTGGTGCAACAGTTGATCGACTAATCATTACAGCCAGTGGGCGTGTCCAGATGGGGACAGGGGTGGTCTTAGTGGGAAGATACTGGTATCATAAGAAACTAGACGCCCCCACCATGTTAGCATGCCAGGAAGGAGATTAAATAATTCTCCAGAGTTAGGATAAATTTGCTTGACCTCTGACCTCAAGATATCTGAATAAAAATGGGTTCTATGGGTACCCAGAAGTCTGCCCTTTATGTTAATCTCATGCAGTGTTTTGCATGTACGGTAATATAAATGTGTAAAAATGTTATCGCCTCGTGTATTTAAATCTTTCTGGGGTCCATAAACAGTGTTGGAATTGCATCAATTGGGAATGAATGGAAAGCTGAGAGAGTCTGTAACCCCCCTGATTACAGCTCATTATTAGCAGGCATTGTATTGCAATTTCTGTGATGAGTCAAAGATTTCAGGGTGAAAAATGGCACGTCTGTTGGCTCCATATGCAAACCATGGCGCAGCAAGGCTATTGACACGTTTCTCACTCATTAGCGCTTAGTAAAACTACAGGTTTTCCAAACCATGGCAGTTTGACTGCTGTAGGTGTTTGCCAGCTGTAGCTAGTTTTTCTGCTCTGGTTTGCAGCCTATCAGAGAACAGTTAAACACTTCCCCCGACTAGATCCCAGCAGAGGAATAAGATACTGCTGAATGTGGTAAATACGCAGTTATCTCTCTCTCTGCCTCTCTTACCCCGTCTCTCGTTCAGCTCTACAGGGATGGAAGGATAGGAAAGTATGACCCTTGGGTTGTGTATGACGTACTGAAACCCCCCCCCCCCCTTTTCCTCAGACCTGTGCTAACTCTCCTCCGGGGGCGCTATGCCTGTGTGTGTGTGCTGTGTGTGTGTGTGTGTGTGTGTCTGAGTGTGCATGTTAAGGGGGGGTGCTGACTGAGGTCCTGGGTGGCTCACTAGAACTGCTGTGTGTGTCAGTTCCTGCAGGAAGCTAGAGTCCCATGACACACACACACAAGCACACACACACCTATCTCACACTCTTCCTCCCATAAAAGCACACTGTCCCATATTCCCTTACTCAGCCACTCTTTCAATTTGGATTTTACCATCAATTCCCTATCCCAGCACCCTCAACATCACTTCCTCTCTCTTTCTCGGTCTCTTTCTGCCTTCCTAAATCTCAGAGTATCTTTCTTCCTCGCTATCTGTCTCCCTCTCTTCTTCCATCCCTTATGTTTTTTTTTTTTTTTACTTTTACTTTTTGTCTGTGCTCATATTAGAATAAGTGTGTGAGAAAAGGAGTGTGAATTGCTGCCTATTTTTTATTCAAGCACATCACAAAGAAAAAAAACCCCTCGTTTCCTTTACTCCCTGGGAGATGGTGTCGACAAGGACGGGGTGAGAAAGAGAGGAAGAGAGAGAAAGAGAAAGAGAAAATGGAGAAATATACCTTCCCATCCCGCTATTAAATTCACAAACTTCCACCCCTCCTCTATTCTTTCTCTATTCCCTTTGTCTGTTTCTCTCTCTGTCTCTTTTGCACTTTTTCTGGAAAATGTGTGTTGAGTTTGGAAAGACCCGCGGGAGGGAAGGCGGAGGGAGGCGGGAGGGTGACTCGAAGGGAATAGCATCGAGCCAACCTATTCTTCCCCCTTTCCACATCTCCTCCTTTCCTTTTCCCCCTCTTCCTCCCTCCCATTGGTCCCAGAGAGGAGCCCTCAGAGGCCAAAGGTGCCTCGACGCCCTCTGTCTCTCTTTCCCTCTCCCTGCCACCCCTTAGTGGGACAGAAAAACAACTTGTCCCCTTCCTTCCTTGTTTCCTCTCTTGCTCCCTCACTCCCCCACTGTGCTGGGAGAAGAAAAAAGGGAGAAGTTGGCAAGGGTTGAGAAAGGAAATGAGAGAGAGTTGGTAGCAGCAAAAGTGTCACTGTTTTAAAGAGTCATCCACTCAGACTTCACTGTAGGAGAACAAACCAGGTAGGGGTGAGACAGATCTCACACACACACACACACACACACACACCGAGGCAGGAGTGCACTAGAGGCATGTGTAGGTGTGTGTGTGTGTGATGAAATCCTCCTCTGTGTCTCTAGAGTCTTGTTTTTCTCAATTCTTGTCTGACAGTCTACTATAGACTACACACACACACATATACACACACTTATTGTTTCTCTTGGACAACATACACACAGAGTCGCATACAAAAAGAGCCAGTGAGTCATCATGGAAAAGGTTTGTCAGGTCCCCAAGCTGAAACTGAGAAACTGAGACCGTACAGAATTATTGTTATTCACAGCTTAAGTACTGTACTAATGTGTGTGTGTGTGTGTGTGTGTGTGTGTGTGTGGGTGTGTGGGGACATGGACATGACTGGCTAGAAAGTTTCCTCCTCCTATTAGATGACAGAAAGTTTCAAGAAAGTGTGTTTGAGTTCAGTTTACATTAATTTAATTTCTAATACAAATGTCACAAATTAGAAACTGCAACAAAAATAGAATATAACAAATGTTAATAATTCTCATCTGTCCAAACATAAAACACACAACATAAATGTGGAATGCATTTTCAGAATTCACATATGTCATTTGTTTAACCCTAATAGACTATATAAGTAAATATAGAGGCTTTCTTGGTTTAAGTAAGCGTAGCTCATAAATATACATAATACAGACAGATAATTGTATAAAAAGTTCCCTAAACAGGAAATAATCTGACCAAAATGAATCCAAAATATCTTCCTGCAGTTACTGAGTTCCCTGTTTGGGTTCATTGTACAGTTTTGTAATATAATATGAAATATCCATAAATGATGTCACTGAGTCAGTTTACCAAATGATAGGAAAGGTTGAGAACCACTGCTCTAATGTAACAACCCAGAATCTACTGTTGAAAATACACTGCACTGTGTAGTTCTTCACATCACATCTGGGTACTTAAATGTAGGTCACTGCAAAGGGTCAGATGTTCCAGGTTAGTTTGACCTTTGACCCTTGGTTTGCCCAGAATCTTCTCCAGAGCCTTAAAGGGTTTGATTTATTTCTACAATAAAAACAAAATGATGAAAAGCATTCAAAGAAAATTCCCTTCTTCAGAAGCGAAAGACGACAAAGTGGTAAAACAAGATGTGTTGAACGACGAGTATCAAACATCCCCGAT